GACTGTAAATATGGAAAGTGACCTCAGAGGAGTATTTAAGGAAACTACACTCATAAAGTCACATGCCCTGTATTATATAATATCAAGTCTAGCTGGGGGACCTGGGGCAAGGTAATTTCACCTTTCTGTGCCTCAGTTTCCTCATTTGTAAAGTCATATTAGGAATCCTACCTATCTTCCAGAGTTGCTGTGAGAACCAGATATAATGTTTCTAAAATATCCAGCACAGGTTATAAACACAAATGGCTCTCAAAATGGTAACTATTACTTCTCATTTTATTATTAGGTCAAAGCAATCAGGCAGGGTAACCTCTGGGGGGAAGAGACTTTTTAAATGCCATAGAAGTATACGCTGGATGAGTTTAGGAGACAAAAGATGAGAGATCACCTTTAAGTTAAATAATAATCAAGTACCTAACAATGCATGCAACTGTTAGGTTGAGTGGATAGATAATTAAGGCCAGAGCGATGAGGGGCAAAAAATATCAGGGATCAGAGGGCCTTATTTTAAAAGTTAAAGCTTGGCCGGGCACGGTGGCTCATGCATGTAATCCTAGCATTCTGGGAGGCCGAGGCGGGCGGATTGCTTGAGGTCAGGAGTTTGAAACCAGCCTGAGCAAGAGCGAGACCCCGTCTCTACTATAAATAGAAAGTAATTAATTGGCCAACTAATATAAATAGAAAAAGTTAGCTGGGCATGGTGGCACATGCCTGTAGTCCCAGCTACTCAGGAGGCTGAGGCAGCAGGATTGCTTGAGCCCAGGAGATTGAGGTTGCTATGAGCTAGGCTGACGCCACAGCACTCACTCTAGCCTGGGCAACAAAGCGACACTCTGTCTCAAAAAAAAAAAAGTTAAAGCTTTAGTATTTGAGAATAAAGACTCCCAAGAGTGAGATCCATCTACTATTATGTGAGAATACGGTGTTGAAGTCCCTTTAATCCTAGGAAGGATAACATGCCTCTAACTCCCCCTTTACGTGAGCGTGCTCTCAGAGCTCCATCATCTTTAATGAGATGGAGACACATCTGAAAAATACAGGATAAGAAACAAGGGCCCTTTGAGGCAAATTGGGAAAATGATATCAAACCAAGGAAAGCTGACACAGTCAGCAAACTGTAAGCCAGCAGTATGCATGCATTTGGGGAGCCTCCCAAAAAGAGATTGGAGGCTCCCATCTGTATGAAATCAGCAGGACACGTCCCAAAGAGATGTGCCTGGTATCAACTAGGCTTTCTTCCTATCTCAGGGGCAGTCCATCATCCAATTCACTTGGGCTAACTGGAGGGCTATGGATTATTACTCTCTTTTTCAAAAATGCAATAATGTTGGCTAAGGCTATGGTTCACAAGCTAACTGTAAATCATAAGTCCGGGGCTTTTCTTTTCTTTTTTCTTTTTTTACAATAAACAGCGATGGGCCCTGACCCCAGAGATTCTGATTCAGTAGGTCTTAGGCAAAGCCAAGGATCTATATGTTTTTTTAAATGCTTCATACATGATGGTAATATGTGGCCAGATTTAACAATGACTATTCTGAGGGAGCTGGAGTCACTGACTGTGTGCAAAACACCACAGGATACTGTTAATCTTTAATCCCAGGAAGCTATGAGGATTCTTCTGGCATGGTAAATGCCAGAAGTATAAGCTGGAAAATGATCCAGAAGATGACAGGGCTATGAAGGCTGGGAGCCCACTTTCTGAAAGAAGGCTTCTCAGAAACGTGCAAGTGTGGGGTAATGTGACAATGGGTGATGATTTCTCCTTTCTTCCACCTTTTTCCCAAGTTTTCCATAATGAGTTTTAAATGTTTTCTTTTTTTTTTTTTTTTTTTTTTTTTTGACTTTTTCTTTCATTTCTATCGCTCAAAGGTGGCTGGAATTTTTCTTCTTATCGTTTAATACAATTTTGTTTCCTCCTGTCTCAGCCTCCCAAGTAGCTGGGACTACAGGCATGTGCCACCATGCCCGGCTAATTTTTTGTATATATATTTTTAGTTGTCCAATTAATTTCTTTCTATTTTTAGTAGAGACGGGGTCTTGCTCAGGCTGGTTTTGAACTCCTGACCTGGAGCAATCCGCCCGCCTCAGCCTCCCAGAGTGCTAGGATTACAGGCGTGAGCCATAAATGTTTTCTTAAAAAAAAAAAAAAAAACAACCTTAAAGGTAAACCAAATATCTGATCACATTTAATGCTGGTGATGTTTGTGATGAAGCTTTAAGAATTGCTGTTACTACAGTGATTTTCCACCACACATTTTGGGTTTTTCTTTAAAGGAACTTCGGCACTTCAGGAAAACAAATTAGCCCTCCTGGTTCATGTAAGCAACCTAAAATGTCTTTCTTCAAAGTTCAGCCTGAAGAGGTTTCCGTGGCCATACTCTCATCTAGGGAGAAGCTGTGGCACTCTACAGGGTGCACTGCTGGCTGCTCAAGTGATGTGATGGTGTGGAAGAAGGTTTTTGAAAAAAATCAAGTTTATCTGGAAGGCTATAAATAAATTCTTGTGAGCACTACACCCACTTTATGCAAAGCACTTGTATCAGTGTGAGATTAGGGGATTAGTACTCTTCTGTTTAACATGAATCTTAAGAAGAATCCTTTGAGATCCAATATTTAAAAGATAACTACATTTTGCAAAATAAACTGAAGATGAAAGGACCATATCAGTATTCATGCTCAAGACCATTCTATCAATGATCATTTTCATAAGAATAAGAGAACTGGCATCAGAAACTATCAGGTATAAAGAGACTTATCTTCTTTGCAGTACAGGGGTACTAGAATCGCCTTTTCAGGGTCAAATGACTTTGACGCTTTCATTTAGAATATTGAAAAAGTACTATATAAAGTCAATAAGACCATATAAAGCATTAAATATACTTAAATGTTTAAAAATTCAATCACAGCATGGCCTGTCTCAACAAAATTTATACATTTTAATTTCTAAAATAACTTGAACAGTTGTGACTGAGAACATGTGTAAAGTTTAATCAAATAGTACTTTTCTTTCTTTTTCTCAGACTTTTTTTTCTAGTCTGTTCCACTTCACTAACCTTTAGAGTTGTAATGTTAGAATCAGATATGTGAACTGACATTAGATTCTCAAGAAAAGGATTTTGAAATTTAAACAAACCCAAGGAGATAAATTACTGTTTTGGGGAGAGAAACAAAGTGAGAATCCCCATTTGCAGCCTTTATAACTCTATTTCCCTGTGAAGAAGTAATCATAAATTAATACACATTTCTAAAGTTGATATTCTGGGTTTGTAAAACATGGCCCTGCACAAGCTGGCAGGCCTCTCTTTATTCCTGCGTTGTGCTCTACTGTGCTCTGGCCCCAGTGCCATCTTCAGGTCACGTGACCTCCAACCTCAGGGCCTTTACATATGCTGAAATACCCAACTGGTCACACACTTCATCATTTTCTTTATGTGGTTAATGCTGGCACAGTCCCTTGTTTTGGCTTCAGATCATTCCTCCTTCCATCTCACTCTTTGTTTTTAGGTTTAATTCCTTTCCCCCTGAACTACAACCTTCAGTAATTAAATCTCAGAAGTTAGGAGACAGAATACTATTTGAGTCCCAGCTTGACCACTCACAAACTATGTAACCCTGAGTAGTGTTGTTGTCTCTCTGAGGCTTAATTTACTCACAAGATTGTTTTGAATAATAAGTTAGCTAATCTATGCAAAACACTTAGAATAATGACTGGCAAAGACTAAACAGTCAATAAACATCACCTATTAGTATTATTTTTTTAGTATAAATCTTACTGTGACCTTTCTCAGTTCTTGTTAGAAAGGGTCTTTATTTCTCCTTTTAGTTAGTTCCTTTTGGTATAGTACTTTATTTTTTTGTTGTTGAGACAGAGACTCACTCTGTTGCCCAGGTTAGAGTGCAGTGGTGTCATCACAGCTCACTGTAACTTCGAACTCCTGGGCTTAATCGATCCTCCTGCCTCAGCCTCCCCAGTAGCTGGGACTATAGGTACGTGCCACCACGCCAGGCTAATTTTTTCTATATTTAGAAGACATGGTGTCTCGCTCTTGCTCAGACTGGTCTCAAAATTGTGATCTCAAGCAATCCTCCTGCCTCGGCCTCCCAGAGTGCTAGGATTATAGGCGTAAGTAAGCCACTGTACCCAGCCTGAATTCAATTTCTTAAACAGATATAGAACTATTTGATTTTTTATTTCTTCTTGTGTCAGTTTTATTAATTTGTGTCTTTCAAGGAATTTGTCTAAATTGAAGTTATCAACATTGTCAAATTTATTGGGAAAAAGTTGTTCATAATATTCCTTCTCATCCTTTTAACACCTGTAGGATCTATAGTGATATCACTTCTTTCATTTCTGATATTGGTAATTTGTATTTTCTTCTTTTTTACTCGATCAGTATTGCTAGGAGTTTATTAATTTTATTGATCTTTTTTTTTTTTTTTTTTTTGAGACAGAGTCTCGCTTTGTTGCCCAGGCTAGAGTGAGTGCCATGGCGTCAGCCTAGCTCACAGCAACCTCAAACTCCTGGGCTCAAGCGATCCTCCTGCCTCAGCCTACCCAAGTAGCTGGGACTACAGGCATGCGCCACCATGCCCGGCTAAGTTGTTCTATATATATTAGTTGGCCAATTAATTTCTTTGTATTTATAATAGAGACAGGGTCTCGCTCTTGCTCAGGCTGGTTTCGAACTCCTGACCTCCAGCAATCCGCCTGCCTCAGCCTCCCAGAGAGCTAGGATTACAGGCGTGAGCCACCGCGCCCGGCTATTTTATTGATCTTTTTAAAGAACTAAATTCCAACTCTGATTTTTCTTAATTCATTTTTTAAACAAAGAGAACACAAATTAAAGGCCCCTTCAATCTCCTTCCTAAACATACTCCCCTCTTCCTCTTGTCCCTGAAGTACCCACTCTCCTAAATTTCATGTTTACTATCCCCCTACCATTTGTATATTAATGTAATGCTAATTTCTGCTTCTCTGCTAGGATCCTCTCTTTACTTACCATGTTTCCTGCTTCTGCAGCCAGCCGGGCAGCATAGCGAGCTATAAGCCGGTGTTCCTCATCCAGTCGGCTAGGACTATCTAGAACACTGCCAAGGAAAAAAAAATTCAACAGGTATCCATTAAACATCCCCTATTCATGCTCCATTCTTAGAAAGAATGGATAAAGAAAAGCTTGTAAAAAAGAATGATAACAAAAGAAATGGAGGCTGGGGTCATAGGTACTAATGGTCTTCTGCGATAAAAGGGGAGTTAGAGAAATGATGAGGCCATACATGTCATTCACCTTCAGCAGCACATCACCACTGCTGCCCCACCATCAAAGGGGACACTTCTTTTTTAATGGAAGGGCTAAGCAAAGACAGGGCACCCACAAAGTCTGGGACAGGGATTTCTAACCAAATGTTTTGAAAACATTTTAGACCTAGACCTAGACTTTTTAGACTTAGATCTTTAATTCAAAAAGACCAAGAGAAAACTAAAGCATCATGAAAAACAGAGGGCTGAGAAAAAGTATACTTAACCCTGGCCAGGGCAGGCCAAACACATTGTACAGTTGGAGAAGATTCCATGGTATCAAAGATTCCCTCTTCATGATTCTTTCTCATTTTTTACTATGCTCATTCTACAACTATAGCCCCATCTTAGAGTGAATTAGTTTAATCCAGGTGTCCTCAAACTATGGCCTGCGGGCCACATGCCACCTGCCTAGGACATTTATCCGGCCCACTGGGTGTTTTTGCCACCACTGCCTGTCCTGCTTAGCAGCCGACTCATCCCAGGCCCATAGTGTGCACTCTCCAACGGTCTGAGGGACAGTGAACTGGCTCCCTGTTTAAAAAGTTTGAGGACCCCTGGTTTAATCCATTACTCTTTAACAAGAGTACCAGCACTCTAAAAATTTAAAGACCCCTTCAGATGGGACATCAGATAATGTGGCACCTAGATGAAACTAGAGTTCTTGAGTAGCAGGCTTGCTCTATGTACACTGGATGTTAATATGGAACCTTTCACGGATTCTGAAATAACTCACTAATTTAGTATGTTATGTCAAGTGCTATTTATCTATATCAAGGCAGTCCTACATTAATAGGGACTATGGCTATATGATTCTCTTTGTTTAAGACTGGCAGATGCTTTAAGGTAATCATGATGATCATGATGCTGATGATGACTAACTGATCAGAGGTGGCTGCTGTGGCTTGCCTCTACTTCAGCCCTATATCCTTGGAGTTTCCAAAATCTCTTGATCAGAATTTAGTAGAATGACAAGTAATATTTAAAAATGTAAAGACATGAGTTCAATACTCATCAAACCTTGTTGTAATTACTGAGGGGAATCTGGGAAGGGTGAGGCTAAATCAATACAGAGCTGTCTGACATTTTCATGTACAGAATTGGCTGTATTGTTTCTAGATTATTTTTCCCCTCTGTTTTTACCTCTGTGGCTAATTCTTCAAGCTTTACTTAGTCAAAGTTCAAGGATGAACTTTTTAAAATGTGCTTTAAGTCTTCTATGACATTTGTCAACACTATAACTTCAGGTGTGCAAATGTCAGTCTCCAGCATGTATAATCATCCTCTCAAAAGATGATCTTGTAATAAGAACATGCTACTATCACTTGGCTTTAATACTGATGGGTCAAGGCCCCAACCAAGGTCAGAGATGAACTATAATATTTGTGCCTTAAAGGTGTCTGTCTGAAATAAGAGACCTATCTTTATCTTTTAAATAAAAAAACAACAAAAATGAATGTTTAACAATACAAGTGGATAATATTATAGAGGGACTGGTAGCCTACAAAGTAGGGCCTAAAGTGGCTAGCCTCTCTTATTTGTTAAGGGATATAGAGGTTCCTCTGTACAAAACAGCTCCTTTTTCTATATCACATTCTATCTCCTTAGGAAGGTTAATCCTATGTCTATACATGAGTGTGGATGACATAGCTGCTTTAATCGGCTATGCTTTCTAGCCAGAAACTAGAACTGTGTGTTGATGAGAGGTTTTAAGGTCAATGAAAATTATTTGGGGGCAATTAGAAAAGCTCCTTATTCTTCTGAGTTGACATACATTTTCAGAATAGTTACCCAGGAAATTTCTGACTTCGAGGAAGTGTGAGGCTCAGTTCCTTAGTCTACAAATCAAGAAGAGATGCAGTACTTACCCATTCATCATATTCTCCCAGGGCCACTCATCATATTCTCCTACTGGCCACCCATTTGTTCTCCAGGAGCCTAAGACTTGAGGACGTGGGCTAAACCTACCTTAAATCTTATTAGGCTAAATTACCAAGTAATGTCAAATATTCTACTGCTATTTTTATCATGGAAACTTTTAATCAGTAAGAGCAAACATAATTTGTCCTTCCTGGGGTGAAACAACTCTATTCCTAGAGACCAAGAGGCTGGGACAGAGTGTACAAAAATCATCTGTTGGATAAGGAGACACTCTTGCTACATTGCACAATTATCAGCCCCTCCCTTCCCTCCTATAAGGTAAGCCTATTAAACAAACTTGGGATGTTAGAGAACCTACAATTTCTCTAAGGCTTTAGGGATAGGTTAAATGCCCCAGAATAATGATGTTATTTAGTCACATTGGAAAACCTATGGGAGGTGGCACAATGCATAATATTAAAAACAGTCCTTTTCATATGTATATTTCTTCACTGATTATTAATTTATTCTTCTGTTATCATGGGGAATAGGAGTGAGGTCAAATGACTTCCCCCAGGAACCAAGGCATGCTATGGACAAAACTAAGATAAAAATTTAAGGATCCAGGCTCTGTGATGTGTGTAGATTATAAATTATGTTTTTCTCTCCAAGAATAAGAATCTCAAAGCAGGGTTTTACAAGTTGCTTGGCATTGTGACTCCTCTTTGCTGTTAGGGGGAGGGATGGCTTTAGCTGTTTAAACTTTACCTGTCATCCTCCTTGAAGAATGGTGGTGGGTGTGGGCATGGAATGGGCAAGAGGCTTAGGGTCTGCCTAAATGGAACAGCACTTTGTTTGGTATTAACTTTTTTTAAAAAAGGATTAACTTCACTATAGTTAACAGTTATCAAACGTTTTTCCATCCCAACCCACTGAAGACTAAGTCACATTCCCATATTAACAGTGAGTCACTACCATAGTTTTCAGGGTAAGGGATATGTAGAGCTATTATAATATATATAATTATTATAATAGGAGGAGGTATATATAGTTTGAGAAAAAGACCCCTCAGGTGATAATGATTCAATACCACTGCTGGGAATCACTGGTTTAAATGATCAACAATGATAGATTTCTGTTGGGTGATGGTATCAAAGCCCCCAGATTAGAAAAAGTGAGCTATATGTGGGTTGATCAACCTTTGAATGTAAATAGAAAGATTTCATTATTTAGGTAAGAATGAACAGGAAGAGGCTGCATCATACCTCTGTGTATGCACAGATGTCTCTGTGAATGTTACATCTTTGGAACTGCAGATTTCTCTCAGAGGTTGATATACTCTTTAAGAGTAAGCTTAAGGAAGTGAACCCCAGTTTAAGGAAGAATTTCTGACTCTATGTTTAGGTAAGTGCCTGGGCTTGGCAAGGCTCCCTCTCTTGTAGAAGCTAATGCTTTTGTGATTATTTTAACTCTGCCAAACATAGCTGGTAGCTGCTCAAGAAAAACCCCACATGCAGAGATTTTTCCAGCTGGCAACCCCAGGCAACATAGCTCTCCCTCCCTCTGAACAACCCCAGGCTACCCGCCTGCTGCTGCTGCACCACCACTGACCGTGCACAGTGCTGCAGACGGGCCACATAGGAGGCTATCAGCGCATGCTCATCGACCAAGTGACTGGGTATATCCTGGCTATACTGTAACCTAGGAACAATGGAGGCAAAGACAGCAAGGGTGACACAAACACAGAGGAAGAAATGAACATGGATTAAAATGAGCAAATGTCAAAGAAAAATTTAAAAAATAATAAATCATGATAAAGAAAACAATAAAAAACCAAAATGCATAATGGAATAGGATATTAGACCATCAGGTATCTGTCTTGCAAATCCTTCGAACAAAAGCAGTTCTTTAGGAATGGCTTCAGCCAACTGACATCACAGTCCTTGAGAAGGACTTCCTGAGGAGTCACCAGGAGCTTCACTTACCACTTTTGTCCAGGTCTGGGCTCTGTGATGGATGTACTTTTAAGGGAATGCCTTCTAGCAGGACAACTGAGGCACAGTGAATCTATTAAATATATTACAACCCTCTAATATGAGCTATAAAGACTTTTATCTATATTAAGAATTTTCAGTATGTTACCAGTTAAATATTTTTATTTCTATAAGGAAATAAAATAGTCTTTAGCATCAGACTATTTTCTCCCACATAATTGGTACTTGAACCAAACTCATTAGAATTGTACAACACTATTCATTCTGAGTTAGGCTTTCTCTTATAGATATATAGAAGGTCCTTAAGTACATGGTCTTTTTTAACTTTTTACTATAAAAATGTTAAAATCTGCACAAATAGAGTAGTCTAATGACTACCCCTCATGTATCTATCATGAAAATTGAATGAATATCAACATTTTGTCAATTTTGTTTAATTTATTCTTCCTTTCCCTAACTTTCTGTGCAGAGAAGGGTAGCTAAAGCAGATCCCACGCAGTGATTTCACCTGTGAGTACTGGATCCTGTACCTCTCTCAGATAGTGAAAACATTTCACATAATCTCAATGCCATTATCATACCAAAAAAAATGACAAAAATGTTTTAATATCCCAGCCCATCTGAAAATGTCCTCAAGTCTTAAAAAATGTCCTTTGATAGTTAAAATCAAGATCTAAATAAGGTTCCCATTTTGCATTTGGTTAATATGTTCTTTTATGTTTGTATTTGATTGGTATGTTTCTGTTTTTAACCTATTCTCTCTTTTCCCTGTTTCTTTTATGTCATTTATTTGTAAAGAAACTAGGTTATCTTGCATACTACCCAACATTCTGGACTGGACTTGTTTCCTGTGGTGTCATTTAACTTGTTTCTCTGTCCTCTGTGCTTAGATCTAGATGCTTGACTACAGTTTTTGCTTTTGTAGATGCTCAACTCACGATGGAGTTACATCCTGATAAACTCATCTTAAATTGAAAATATTGTAAGTTGAAAATACATTTAATATGCTACCAAACATTATAGCTTAGCCTAGCCTACCTTAAATGTGCTCAAAACACTTACATTAGCCTACAGTTGGGCAAAATCATCTAATTTTATAATAAGGTGTTGAATAGCTCATGCAATTTTTTGAATACTATGCTGATAAAGTGAAAAACAGAATGGTGGTATGGGTACTTGAAGTATAGCTTCTATCACATGTGTATTGCTTTTACACTGCTATTAAGTCAAAAAATCCTAAACTGAAACATTTTAAGTTAAGAGATTATTCTGTATTTTGTTTTTAATAAGTGATAAGAATCTGTTACAGGGAATATAGTATACTTATAAATCAAAAAGGAAGCACATAATGGAATGGAATGTAAATACTGACCTGTAGATTCAGATGTTACTGGTCAACATCTATCCATTATAAAGTCCTCCATCAATTTTTCACCTAATAGGTTTACCATTTACTAATGATTCTTGCCTAAATTCATTATTTCATTAGAGGTAACAAAATACTGACTTTTCCAATTTTATGCACTTATTAACTTTCTCTATTTGTTTATCTTGAAATACTACTCTGAGGAAAGGTAAAACAAATGGTTGATATTTCCCATTATTTAAAAACATTCAGAACAATGAGTTAATGCACTAGTAACATCCAATGATTATCAAAGAATTTTCTATGAATTCATGGATTTTCATATATCTGATGTGCTTCAATCCATTCCAATCATCTTTTGGATGCTCAAATTATCCTACCATTGGCCAGTGGGAGCCCCTGTTGGTAGCCTCCTGTGTTCTTTTGATACATTTATTAGACCTTATTAACTTTCTTCCTTTCTGGCACAATAAGATGCCCCACTTTTGTCTTGTATCCTGCCCAAGACTTGGAATCAACCATTCTTCTAAGGATCCCTAGGTCCCTTTACTGGGAAAGAATATTTAGGGACCACAATTAGGGCACTAAGGTACTCAGCGTTCCTAGACTGTCACTGTTCCTGGGCTAGGAAATGTACATTTTAGATTGAAGAAAAACAAGTTTTTTCAATGCTCTCAAGGTATTATTCCATTTTCTTCTAGTTTGCATTTTTTGGGGTATATATTAATGGGGTACAAGTATAATTTTGTTACATGCATAGATTGCTTAGTGGTGAAATGAGGGCTTTTAGGGTATCCATCACCTGAATAGCATACATTGTACCCCTTATATAACTTCTCATCATCCAACTCCTCTGATCCCTGCACCTGCCAAGTCTCTACTGTCCATCATTCCACACACTGCAGCCATGTGTACACGATTTAGCTTCCACTTTTAAGTGAGAACATGGCTTGCATTGTTGTTAATGAGAAGTCATTGATAATTCTTATCTTTGCTTCCTTATGTGTAACATGTCTTTTTTTCTCTAGCTGCTTTTAGTATGTCCTCTTTATCACTGGTTTTCAGCAATTTGATTCTGACATGCCTTGGTATGGTTTCCTCTGTGTTTATACTGCTTACACAAAGAGCTTCTTATATCTGTACGTTTTTTACAGTTTTTGTCAAAGTCGTAAAAAGCTATTTGAAAATTTGGAAAACATTTTTCCTTAAATGTTTTTTTTTTTCGCTGTTAGACTGCTTGACACTGAAATACAGGTCAACAAGGCTCTTCATTTTTCAGCCATTTTTCTCTTTGTGCTTCATTTTGGATAGTTTCTATTGCTACATCATTAAGTTCAGTGAACTTTTCTTCTGCAATTTCTAATCTGTTAAATCCATCCATTGACTTTTCACTTCATGTATTATCCCTTTCAACTCTAGGAGCTTCATTTTTATTTTAAAAGTTTTACTGAAGTAGAACATGTATGCAGAAAATTCCTATTTACGTTTGGTTCTTTTTTATTTCTTCTATTTCTCTCCTCATTATGTTCATATCTGCCTTTACATTCTTTTTTTAAATTTTTTTTTTTATTTTTTTGAGACAGAGTCTCACTCTGTTGCCTGGGCTAGAGTGCTGTGGCGTCAGCCTAGCTCACAGTAACCTCAAACTCCTGGGCTCAAGCAATCCTATTGTCTCGGCCTCCCGAGTAGCTGGGACTACAGGCATGCGCTATCATGCCCAGCTACTTTTATTTATATATACATATATTTTTTAGTTGTCCAGCTAATTTCTGTTTTTTTTTAAGTAGAGACAGCGTCTCACTCTTGCTCAGGCTGTTCTCGGAACTCCTGAGCTCAAATGATCTGCCTGCCTCGGCCTCCCAGAGTGCTAAGATTACAGGCCTCAGTGAGCCACCATGCCCAGCCTGCCTTTACATTCTTGATATTTGTCATGGCTATTCTAAAGCCCATGTCTGCTAATTGTATCATGTCTGTCATTTCTGGCCCTGGTTCTACTGACTTATTTTTCTCCTGGTTTCAGGTCCTGCATTCCTGCTTTTTCCTATGTCTTCTAACTTTTTATTGGATGATAGAAATGGTGAATTTATGTTGTTGAATATCTGGATTTTGTTGTCTTCCTTTAAAGAATCTGGTAGTCAGTTAATTTACTTGCAGACCAGCTTGATCCTTTTAAGGCTTGTGTTTAAGCTTCATAAGTACACATTTAGAGTAACCTTTATCTAGGGCTATTTTGGCCCTGTTCCTAAGGTGTGACCTTTACTGAATGTCCCAAGTATTCAATGATGTCTTTTTACTCTGATTGGTTAGAACTCAAACATCTGTGTAAACTCAGGTAGTTGTTCTGTGTTCAGTTCCCCACGAGTTGTTATTTCCCAGGAAGTTGTTCTTTACCTGGTCTTGTCAAGTCTTGTTCTATGCAAATACAGCTCAGTTTTCAGCAAAGGACTCAAGGGGACCTCTATGCAGATTTATGGATCTCATCCTCTGCATAGCTTCCTCCTCTCTGGTATTAACCCTGGGAAATTCCAGCTTCCCCGAACACCAATTTCTGTGATCTTATCTTAGCAAGACTGCCTTGCTCTGCCTGTATTCTATACCATAGCTGGGCAAATGCCTCCAGGAAAGAAGCCTGAACAATCAAAGGGCTCTCCTCATTTGCTTCCCTTTCCCCAAGGGTCAATCCTACACTGCTTATTGTCTAACTTCTTTTAAAAAGTTGTTTCTTATATCAGACCATTTTTCTAGTAATTTGTAGTACAGACTGATTTGGGTAGGAGATCAGATGTGGGATCACTAAAATGAAAGCAAGTATAGGGAAGAAGGCCCAAGACAAAAATCAGGAAACGCAGGAACGAAGGGACCAAACATTAGCTCCACACTGGAATTTAGGGTTACTTCAGTCACTTGCAATCCCTTTCAGTCCAGTCTGTTTCAATATAAACTTCAATTTATTTGTTTTCCTTTTTCATCTGCTAAAATGTAAGGCTAGGAGGAGAAAAGACCACTGTCACCTTTCACATAGACTGGTCTCCAAAACTTCAAATAAACCAAGACACCTGAAGGAAAATATCACACAGAAAATCTAACAGAAATGCTATGTGAGAAGCTAGAGAGCATTTCAGTGTTCACTACAATAAATGTGCAAAGCCAGCTGAGTCCAACAGTAAATTATAAGACAATTCGCTGACTCTGGAAAGTCCTGATGTTTGGAGAGATGTCAGTAGTCCTGTCACAGTGGGAGAAATTTGTGGTGAGACCCACCAAGGGAGCAAGAAGATGTGCAGACAAATTCTAGTTAAAATCTAAACACCCAGAATAATTGGTGACTTTAGCAAGAAAAC